TTTTTGTGGAACCAGGGACTGAACTCAGGCCCTTGAGCTTGCCAGGGAAGCGCTTATTCCACTGAGCCATCTCCCCGGCCCCAAAGCTAGTGATCTTTGAAAAGCACCAACCTGATGATGGCAGTCTTAGACTCCCTTCCTGCTTTCTCACTGCCTTGGCTTTGACTTTCATAAAATGACTTCTATAGCTCCTTACTCGCTGGCCTCTATGTCTCTAGCTTGGCCTATTGCCACCATCGCTTTCACATTATGCCAAAAGTACAGCCACTGAAACAGATGTCTTCTGTGGCTTAATGTCATTAACATGGAGCTCTCAGTTTTATCTTCTGTTAAATAGGGAGAATAACAGTAACTACTCAGGACCACAGGAGAATGAATCCATCTATGTAGTTTGTAAGAGCAAGTGGGGAGTTACTAGGCATTGTTCAGGGGAGAAACATGGAGGGAACGAGACATGGAAGGAACAGCAACCAAGCATGGGTGGCAGCGGATCAGCCTGGGTCCTCATTAGCCTGTGAGGGATTGATCTTTTGTTGCTGATTCCCCAAACTCTCAGCAGTTTCAACTTAGAGCTTATTCAATACTTTAAAACCAATTTCAAACCAAGTTTTGAGCTTGCTTGTAAAAAATCTATTGCATTAATAAAAAAAAAAAAAAATGAAGTTTTGGGCCAAACTGCCTAACCAATAGGAAAAGCAGATTGGGCCCCAGGAGAAATGGGCTTGCCTGGTTGGAGAAGGTAATATCAAAGAACAGAAATCCATCAGAATTAAAGGGAAGGATGGTGGAAAGGAGTCACAAGTGGCTAAAAACAAAAAACACTGCAAGGGAACTAAACTGGAAAGAAGATGTGAAGAGGGCTAAAGAGGGTATTTTGTTAGTATTGGCAGCTCTCAGACATGAAGATGCATCTGAAGCCTTCCGTTGTCCTTGTCTGTGGCCCTAAGAGCACATAGATGTAAATTGCTAGGCTAACCTGACAACCCAATTTCTCTGAGTCTTAGGCTCCACTCTCCTGGGAGACAGTCAACTTGAGTCAGTGGTCCCAGGGCAATTACTATCCTCACCTGTGCCGCTGAGCTGTGGTGTTAGGTGGGTTATGGGTTTTCAACATATCTTTGACTTAACAGTATTTTTTAACTTATGATGGATTTATTGAGATGCAACCCTATGACAAAGTGAGGAACATATGGAAATCATTTCCAGAGATACTTTTCATTAAAGATTCTATACAAAGACACTTAAATAAATATGAGTCAGGTCAGTATTGATTTCTCTGATTTGGAGATTGCTAAATTGCTTCACCTCTGTTCTGACAATGCTAACTTTATTCCTACGCTGAACTAACCTGAGGAAAAACTATCACAGAATTACAAACACATCCCACATGGCTATGACATATACACTGTAATCTGAGGAGGGGTGGCCCTGGAAGCCAGAGCCCTACTGTTCCCAGGGCTGTGGCCTGTCACTCTGCGGCTTGGGTTTTCAGAGTGGAACCTCCAGGCAGCAGCTTCTGTCCCCCCGGTGTCCCAAACCCTGCTGTAAAGGATGAGGAGGGCATTCTGTACCTGGGCACCTGCTCCCGAGGCTTCGCATGTGGCACCGCACTCCCCCTCATGGTATGCTTCCTTGCAGTCCCGGCAAAAGACAAACTGTAAAAGAACACCCGTGTATCAGGAACTTTGAGTCACATGCTACATTTCGATGTTACTGTTCACTACGGAGGTGTGTTCTGAGTCCTGTAGTGAGGTTGCTGAGAGCCACATTTCCTCACCTCCAAGTGTTTTTGGCCCAATGGAGCAGGTAGTAATGCAAAGGGACACCTGCAGCAAAGGGCTATGGGTGTTAGGATTCGAGGAAAACACCTTCCTTCAGAGTGTACCCTGAATGTTGGTTCATGTATGTAGAAGGTATGTATGAATGTGTCCGTGGACCTATTATTTGTATGGAAAGTCTATTATGGAATGAAGAAATAGGTTATTAGAGATTGAATAGTTCTTTTACCCCCTCCTTCATATGCTGACATCTCAGCATCCAGTACCTCAGAGTGCGATGGATTTGGAGATAGAGCCTTATGGTGGGGCGGCTGGGGCCTGCATCCGTATGACCCCTACACATCCTTAGGAGATGAGGGTACAGACTGAGTGGTGGAGGGCCACCAGGGAGGATGCAAGGAGAAGGTGGTCATGCACGAGCCACGGAGGGAGGCCTCATAATACATCACCCCACTGACACCCTGAGCTCAGCTTTCTGGCATGGTGGATTATGAAAAGTAACATTTCTGCTGTTAAACCCCATAGTCTGTGGTAACTGGTTAGGGCAGCTACTGGCAAGTAGTATGTGGATTGCAGCAGGCTTTTCCACCAGGTGACAGTGCTTCTTTCAGCATTTACATGTTGTGGAACCACGATACCAAGGGACACCTGACTCCTGAGAACCACGGGAAAGCCACTGAATGTCTGGAACACTCAAGGCATCTCCAGAGACCTGAGGGCTCTCCAGCATGGACCAGGTTATCAGCTTGGTTTTGGTTAAGATAAAAATACTTTGTACTGAAAAGAGAAAACAAAACAAACAGAACACTATCTATCTATCTATCTATCTATCTATCTATCTATCTATCTATCTATCTCATCAACTTTTTTTTTTTTTTTTTTTTTTTTTGGTGGAACCGAGGATTGAACTCAGGCCCTTGCATTTGCCAGGGAAGTGCTTATTCCCCTGAGCCATCTTCCCGGCCCCTCTCATCAACTTTATTCCAAAAGATATCACGTATCACTGCTTCTCCTGGGCTCACACAGAACAGCCCACCTAACATGTTCTCTTTTTGTGTCATTTTCACCATCTGAACAGAACTCTGCTCTTCTCTACATCCAATTCCTGCTTTTAAAAATAACCTGAAAATTACTTATCAAAACATAAGACATAACAAAGCATTTTATTATACACTTATTGCTTCTATAGAGATATGCCATAATTGATCTTGAAGCTACCACTTTCAGGGTACAAACTGAGTATCCCTTTCCTGAAATGCTTGGGATGAAGAGTGTGATGAATTTTGGTGTTTTTTTTTTTTTTTTTAATTTTGGAATTTTTCCACATATATAATAAGACATTTTGGGAATTTGATCCAAGTCTAAACACAAGATGCACTTGTTTTACACACACAACCTGCAGGCAATTTTATGCATTATTTTGATAGCACCTGTGTTTTTACCACAATTTGTCACATGAGGTCAGATGTGTGCTTTTCCATTTGTGGCCTCATGCTGGCGCTTTAAGTTGGTTCAAGGTTTGAAGCATTCTTGCTTTAGGGTTAGGGATGTGCAATCTGTGTTTAAATCCTTTTCTAGCAGAGAAACGGAAGTCAAACATTGAGGGATTTCAATTTTACCTGAGGGTTCAGGGTAAAGAAAGACACTGTGTGTGAGGGTGTTGTCCTTATACAAATGACCAGCACCCCCAGGTGTTAGGCCCTGACATTTTACCTTCCCTGAACTGAAGGTGAAAATAGTGTACAAGGAGTGGAGTCCTAGCCTTTCCTCGGGAGGTTTTGTTTCTTTTTTACACGCATCTGCTAATTTCTGGGTTTGCCTCACCCCATCACTCTCTTCTGACATGCTCTGCTGGAATGCTGGATCGTAGGGTTCAGTCACCGAGAACGCGCAGTGTGATCTCACTCGCTGCCTTGGAGAGAAGCAAGCCTGAGCTCTTGGCGTGACAGGAAAAGCGCTTCACATCTTATTAGCCAGCGGATGAGATATAAAATCAGTTTCATGGTGCAAGAACACCCTGGAGGTTGATCAGTTTGTCAGAATAAATAGGCCTTTCTTGACACAAGGACATTAAACTCTTTCTCACCAGAACAGCAAAGAATGGACTGTAAAGAGATAAGAGCAAACAAAGAGTGTATAAAAATTAAAGCCTCTCCAACTCAGGATGGCAGGGGAAGCAGAGGCTGCAAGAGTATACCTGGGATAATTTAACAATAATGCACAAACTTGCTTCCATTCCAAAAAGTATTTAATTTAAACTTAGATACATCATATAGAATTTCCTTCTCAGTTAAATAACTTGAAGTTTTCTCAAGTAAAATGAGGAAATATCTAGAAGGTCTGATTCAATCTTGAAAGCTATTTTGAGCTTTAAATTACATTATTATTATTATTCTAGGTGGGAGTAACAGGAATCAAACTCAGGACCTTGTACTTGCCAGGCAGGCACTTATGCCACTGAGCTACATTCCCAGCCTCTTAAATCACATTATTTAGAGCTCAAGGGGCCTGTATAGGGGCCGGGGAGATGGCTCAGTGGAATAAGCACTTCCCTGGCAAGTGCAAGGGCCAGAGTTCAATCCCCAGTTCCAGAAAAAAAAAAAAAAAAAAAAAAAAGTCAAAGGGCCTGTCTAAATGCTTAGGGCTTCAGTTCCCAAACTGTGCACTAAGGCACCCTGGATGCCACAACAAACTGACAAGGGTGTACCATAAAATTTTAAAAACTAGAGAAAAACATTAACACTCAACATCTGTGGGACAGTGTAAGCCACTAACTCAAGGATGTCCCCTGTGGTGATGGACACCTTATCATCCTCCTTTCAGTGATATTCTATCACTACGAAGCTGGATTGTTAGGCATCATAAGTACAGAAAATCCCAACGAAATAAATACCACCACCAAACCCCAAATATACTGTCTATTTAGATCAGTGACATATTTTTTTTTGGAACTAGGGATTGAACTCAGGCCCTTGTGCTTGCCAGGGCAGTGCTTGTCAGGGAGCCATCTCCCTGGCCCCTTAGTGACATAATTTTTAAAAAATAAAACGATTTTTTTTTCCAGTATACGTGAACTAATTTTTCAGGTGATGCTATAGTTTATATTTAAAATGTTCCTCCAAAAGTTTCATGTTTGGAAAGTGACAGGATCACGGGGACTCCATTCTCATCAGTAGATTCACCCACTGAGGAGCCCAGTAGCTGACTGTGCGGTTAGCAGGTGGCCAGCACCTGGTCAGTCGCTGGGGCAGCAGCTGGGGGAGCGTGTCACTGCTCTTGGCCTCTCCCTTCCCTCTCTGCTTCTCGCTGCCTCCGTCAGGACCGTCTACCTGCCTGGGGGCCAGGTGACTCTGGGTTGCACCCACTGGAAACTGTGAGCCAAATTAAGCTATTAATTATCTTATTTTGCTATTTGGACTGCAATCATTAAAAACCAAAACTGTGAGGTATTTCTCTTGGCCTAGAGGTGCTATGAAAAATTCACCCAGCTGTGAAGGGGATGCGAACACAAGAGGTCTGGGGGCGTCTGGCTTAGGCAGAGATAAACTCCTGCTTGAGATGAGGTTTTGGGCCAGTGTGCAAATGCACTCTGTGGAATCGCTATTTACAGAGGAGGAGCTTGTTGAAGGGAAGACACCCAGCTCCAACAACGTCAGGCTCACTCCTGACCTGCATACCTCATACCGGGGGCACATCATCTTTTTTGACCAGTCATGAGGAAGGCTGTGTTTTGTCCAGGGATTTGCTACTTTTAACCAAGTCCTCACATTTGCTGAGGCCCCTTTAAGATACAGCATAGGAGGAATGAACTGAAAAGATGAACCACCATCCATTTCTATAGTGCACGTCTCCTGGGTTATCTTCTCTTGAAAAAGAGCTGATAAAGACAATTCACTTCCATTTTTTTAAGAATTACAAATGTCTTTTACAGTTATAAATAATAACACATATTTATTATTCCATTGGTTTTCTAAACTCTATTCTCTTGCTAGATTTTATCAGAGAGCAATCTAATACATGAACTGTATACATTCTGTGTGTGTGTGTGTGTGTGTGTGTGTGTGTGTGTGTGTTTGTGGTACTGGGGATTGAACTCAGGACCTCAGGCTTACCAGGCAGGTACTTACGCCCTTGAGCTATCTCCCCAGCCATACATTCTTAAGATGTTGGATTTAAGTAACAATTTGGCTGGACTATAGCCCCAGTTAATCGGTTCAACACCGATCTAGGTAAGAGTCAAGGAGTAGGTGTAAGATCCATAATCAGCAGCACAGAGGTAAAAAACAGAGAGCACCCTAGGAGGCTGGGCAAGCCTGACAGCTGCTGGAAGTCACAGGATCAGAACTGCAGCTTCCCAGAGGAAGCACAGAATCTACCTGTGGACTCAGTTTCAGGCCATGCCTGTGATTTCCAGTCTGCCTTACCCAAGGGCCTGCCCCGGGCATTTAAGACCTGCCTAGCTCGTTCCACAACCAGGTAAGTTAATTTCTTGCAATATATATATTCATATATACATGTGTGTATAAGTATACACTGATACACAACCACACATATGTGTGTATATGTGTAACTCATACACATATATGTGTGTATGTAGGCACATAACCATATGCTCCTATGTTTAGGTATAGCCCCTCTGCACACATATGTCTATAAACCCACTCTCCTTGCCCTGCCTCTCTAGTGGAATTCTGGTTGCCATAACTCCTATAAAAAGCTTAGCTGGGTCAATTTCTTTCCTGTATTTTACAAAAGAACTGATAGAAAAACAGCCCTGCCATTTTATCTGTCTACGTTATTTACAGGGCTGTAGTTCAAACCTCTTTCCATGTTTTTTTTTTTAAATCCCAAGAAGCCAAATGATAGGCCAAAGTCAT